GGTGAGGATGGCCAGGAGGCTAGGGTGGCTGGGCCTGTCTCATTGGTGTGATCTCAGGCCTTTCCCTCTTCACATGAACTCTCTGCATGGTCTCTTTGGGTGGTCACTAAGCAGGGTAGCCAGACTTTGTTACACAGTGGCTTAGGGCTCTCCAAAGACAAAAGTAGAAGCTACCAGGCTTCTTACTGCTTAGGCCCAGAACTGTCTCTTCCCCACATTCTATTAACTAAGCAAGTCACAGACCAGCCTAGACTCACTATAGGAGGGGGCTGCACAAGGGTGTGAATCTTTCAGGGCATGGCTCCTTGGGGACCACCTTGGACAACAGCTGTCATGGGTTCTCTAGCTGGAGTTTCGTAGGCATATGAGAGAAGGAACTACAGAATGTGCCAGAGTCGGCTTGCTTAACACTTGGGCCAAACAAAGTGAAAGTTATACAAATACCGTGGAATGAGATTCTGGCATTAATTCTACTATCTCCTCATTCAGAAATTGGGGAAAGTGTAAATTAGACATGGTTTAAGTAAATGTCCTTTCTGTGGTCCTTTGGTGACATTTCTTTTATCTTCTTGGTCCACGTCACCTGTTGGGCTTCTCCTGTGAATCATGTAGTCGAGTTGTAATTGTCACTTCCATTATAGGGAATAGCATTTATATTTATTGCTGAGAAAGCACCATCTCACCATCTTCAATTGTCCAAAGTTCATAATTGATGTGCAGAATCTTTGCCTACTGTCTCCATTGCCCCAGGTGCTGCTATCCCTCATGGCTCCTGAATGATGCTGAAAACGTAGGGGAGGTTGTTCTCCTCTAATGTAGACTCTGAAATACTATCCTGCTAATAAAATTTCCTCTGCCTGCCTGTGATGCGCTTTGATTTGGGAACACTCTTTGTGAACAGTTAGAGGGTTTTGTAAAGTCCCCGGGTTTTTGTCGTAAGAGTGACTTCCAAGTTATTTGGAATACATAACAGAATATATCTGGTGTGTAGTAGATTCTCAACACGTCTGTTGAGGAATATGATAAATGTCGTGATGATTGTTATGAGGAATAAATGAGTGCCATGTTCTGAATGTTTATGTTTCCCCCAAATTCATATGTTAAAATCCTCATCCCCAGTGTGATGGCTTTAGAAGGTGGGGCCTTTGGGGGGTGACTGGGTCATGAGGGTGGAACCCTCGTGATTGAGTTAGTGTCCTCATGAATGAGACCCCAGAGACGGGGCGTGGTGGCTCATGCCTGTAATCCCAGCACTTTGGGAGGTTGAGGCAGGTGATCACTTGAGCCCAGAAGTTGCAGACAAGCCTGGGCAATATGGGGAAACCCTGTCTCTACTAAAAATGAAAAAAAAAAAAAGTAGCTGAGTATGGTGGCACGCACCTGTGGTCCCAGGAGGCTGAGTTGGGGGATCGCTTGAGTCCAGGAGGTAGAGGCTGCAATAAGCTGAAATCACACCACTGTACTCCAGCCAGGGTGGCAGAGGTTTTTCTTTTCCTTTTTTTCTGTTTCAAGAGAGAGAGAGAGAGAGAGGCCCTAGAGACCCAAAGAGCTGGCTGGCTAGCCCCTTTCACTATATGAGGACACGGAGAAAGTGCCATAGATGACAGGAAGCAGGCTCTCACAGACATTGAATCTACCAGTGCCTTAATCTTGGACTTCTCAGCCTCCAGAACCATGAGAGATAAATTTCTGTTGTTTATAAGCCACTCAGCTTCTGATATTTTGTTATGGCAACCCGAATACACTAAGACAATGAATGACCTTTCACAAAGGACCTGAAACACTGAGTTTGAATAATCATTAGTTTCCATTTTGGTATCTGTTCCATGCCTTATTCTCTAATACAAAATCTGCCCCAAAATACTAATCCTGAACCTAAGATTGCTGCAGCTATGTGCTGAAACCATCTTTCTCAGTGTGCTTTTTTTTTTTTTTTTTTGAGACAGAGTCTCGCTGTGTTGCCCAGGCTGGAGTGCAGTGGCACAATCTTGTCTCACTGCAACCTCTGCCTCCCAGGTTCAAGTGATTCTCATGCCTCAGCCTCCCAAGTAACTGGGATTACAGGCATGCGCCACCACACCCAGCGAATTTTTGTATTTTTGATAGAGATGGGGCTTCTCCATGTTGGCCAGGCTGGTCCTGAATTCCTGGCCTCAAGTGATCTGCCCACCTCAGCCTTCCAAAGTGCTGGGATTACAGGCATGAGCCACTACATCCAGACCCACAGTGTCTTTTAATATATTTACATTTAACTAACAACATATTTGTTTTTTTTTTTTTTTGAGACAAAGTTTTGTTCTTATCATCCAGGCTGGAGTGCAATGGCACGATCTCGGCTGACTGCAACCTCCACCTCCTGGGTTCAAGCGATTCTCCTGCCTCAGCCTGCTGAGTAGCTGGGATTATAGGCACCCGCCACCACATCCAGCTAATATTTTGTATTTTTAGTAGAGATGGGGTTTCACCATGTTGGCCAGGCTGGTCTCAAACTCCTAACCTCAGGTGATCCTCCCACCTCGGCTTCCCAAAGTGCTGGGATTACAGGCGTGAGCCACCGCACCCAGCCCCATATTTGATATTTCTACCACACATCTGTATTTTCTATTTGTCTCACCCTTTCAGTTTCTTAACTCTCTAATTGCCTTCTTTTGAACTTTTTTTCTTCCATTTTTTCCTTTTTATTAGCTTCCAAGTTATGCATTCTATTTTTGGGCTTTTAATGATAACCCTAGACATTTCAACAAGCACACTTCACTAATCAAAATCTAAGATTTACCATCTTTTTTTCCCTTCAACAATACAGAACCTTAGTTATTGTGTCCATCCATATTTTAGTCATATTTTGCTTTTCCTAACTCCCAAGATGTTGTTATTATTGGTTTAAGGAGTCGTTGTTTATTCTGATTTTTATAGTAATTTTTTATTCATTTTTCAAATCTACTTGGTCAATTTTATGGTCTTTTGTTCTTTATTTATGTCTTCAACCTCTTGTACTGCTTATTTAAACATTTCTGTGTTTGATAATTCAGGGCATCTTCTCATGTCTAATTTTAGAAGGGTTTTTTTTTTTTTTTTTTTTTGTGCCACTCTTTTCATTCATGACTTCTGAGTATTTGCTCATATTTCTTTGAAATTATAGGTAATTATTTGTGCCTAGTTAGAAAGTGGAAAGTGAGTTACTCCAAAAAGGAGGATTTCTGGCCAGACATGGTGGCTCACACCTGTAATCTCAGCACTTTGGGAGGCTGAGGGGGGTGGATCACTTGAGATCAGGAGTTTGAGAACAGCCTGACCAACATGGTGAAACTCCATCTCTACTGAAAATACAAAAATTAGCCAGGCATGGTGGTGGGCGCCTATAGTCCCAGCTACTCAGGAGGCTGAGGCAGCAGAATCGCTTGTACCCTGGAGGCAGAGGTTGCAGTGAGCTTAGATGGAGCCACTGTACTCCAGCCTGGGTGACAGAGCACGACTCGGTCTCAAAAAAAAAAAAAAAAAAAAGGAGGATTTCCATCTGCTTTTGTGGGTATCTGGGAGAATTCCCAACCCAAATGCACTTTAAATCTTAAATCAACTTTTTGGCTTGAGGTTTTTGTGAACACCTAAAGTATACATTTTGTCTGCAAGCCTACATAAAGTCAGGATCATGATTTGAAAAATCAGGGAGATTTTCCCCTATGCCTGTTCAGTTCAGGTTTCCAGTCAATGTATTTTATTCACAGTGCAATGGAGGGCCAGGGTCAGAGACAGATTAATTCCTTATTTACTCTTACAGGTGAAACTGTCAGATGTCACCTGTCATGATGTTAGAAACAGAAATTTATGTGTTAGAATTGTATTAAGTTTCGATTTTGGCTTTAGAAAAAGGATCATCATTTGTGGTGGTGGCTGCGCTTGTCAGTCAGCGCCTAGAGAGACTTTCGGGGATGGTAGTAACAATATAGTCCCCCATTTCTACTGAGCATTCTCAGTGTCTGTTCCAAGTAGAATTCAGGTTATGCTCTCAAGGCGGAAGTTGCCTGGGGAGGACATCTTTGAGTACAGCTCATTTTTTTTTCTTTTTTTCTTTCTTTTAGAGATGAGGTCTCACTTTGTCACCCAGGCTAGAGTGCACTAGAACGATTCTAGCTGGCTGCAGCCTCAAACCCTCAGGCTCAAGAAATCCTCCCACCTCAGCTTCCCAAGTAGCCGGGACTATAGGCTCATGACATCGATCTTGGCTGTTTTTTATATTTTTTGTAAAGACGAGATCTCACTTTGTTGCCCAGGCTGGTCTCAAATGCCTGGGCTCAAGCAATCCTCTTGCCTCAGCCTCCCGAAGCCCTGGAATTACAGGCATCAGCCACCATGCTTAGCCACAGCTCTATTAATAGGCACAAGTTCTTCAATATCCACTTAGACCCCAACTCTGCTGGGACCACAGGCCATTTTTCTTCCCATGTTGTGATCTTGCCCACCACGCCTCCACTTTTTCCCCATCTGCCTGGCTACTTAGTTGAAAATTCTCTTTCTGTCCAGCCTTTCCAGCTCCTTGTGGGAGCTTAGGCCACACCCCACCTGAGGGACTATCCTCCCTCAATGTTCCAATCCCAGAAATCATCTTGAACAAGTAATCTGTCCATGAGTTGCTCCCCGTTGAGACCTCTGGCCAGGTCGTGGCCTCCTAACCTCAGTCCACTCAGCTGTGGCCTCCATGATCCGACCCAGACAGCCTGCTCTCTTTTCTTCTCATTTCTGCCTCCCTCTTGCCCTTGTCTTTCCCATGCCCTTGTTCACAGGTTCTATTCCAGGGCTCTATTTTTGTGTACAAAACGTCATGATTACAGTTCTCTTTATAACAATTCCAACCCCATTCCCTGCTTTTTTTCCCCGTGAGAGGTCAGTTCCTGAGTCCACAGGCCCAAATGTGAGTGATGCATGGAAGGGACAGAGTGTTTCCTCTGAGGCCTCTGCACATGCCTGTCCAGTCTTTTCATTCTCTGTGGTTTTCTCATTTCTAGTCCAAGAGGCCCAGAAGCAAACCTGGAGGTGAGACCCCAAGAAAGCTGGAACCATGCTGACTTTGTATACTGTGAGGACACAGAGTTTGTTCCTGGAAAGCCCGCTGTCAACGCAGATGAGGAAGTTGGGGGTCCCCAAATCTGCCGTGTATGTGGGGACAAGGCCACTGGTTATCACTTCAATGTCATGACATGTGAAGGATGCAAGGGCTTTTTCAGGTAGAGTTACCCATCAGCCTTCACCCACCTGCCACCACTGACACACTGGGTCACACCTAACTCGGGTCTGCCACTAACCCACTGGGTAACGTCTCAGGGCCTCAGCTTGACCTGTCCCCCAGGTTCAGTGTGGGCTGGTGGCCCACCCAAAGGCCTTGTAATTAGTCTCAAGGGAGCCATTTATATCCCAGAGGAATCATTCATCTTCAGTCTTCCTGTTCTACCCAGGAAGGGTCTCCTTCCATTAAGATATACCTTGGTTTCTCCATGTGCTCTTGAATAAAATGGAAAATGACTCAGTGAAAGGTAAGGAATTTGAAACTCCCAAATCCAAGTGTTCACATTCGCCTTCTGGGGTGGTTGTTTCCTAAAGAATGGCATAAAATAAATGTTCAGACCATGGGAAGAGAAGCAGACCGAAGGGAGGGGAGGGGTGGGGAGGAGAGAAAGCCATGTGTGAGGAAGCCCTCCAGGGGCACCCTCCGGAGGGCACAGGGTATGCAAGGAGCAGCTCCCATGTCAGGAGCCACATGTGGGACCCTCATGCATTTCCAAGACAGCCTGCCTGATGGCCCTTTGCCGAGTTCTTCCTGGTGGCTGGGCACGCAAATGGAAAAGGGCAGGTTCCAGGGAGAAATGAACATTCGCGTTGCATGAGTTGTAACAGAGGTGAGACACATCAGCAGTGTCAGGCTGGGTTCAGCTACAAGTCATAGGACCTTTGTCGCAAATTGGTTTGGCAATAAGGAAAACGCGTTACCTCTCCTAACAGGAAGTGTGAAGGCCTCCAGGTTGGTGAGTTCAGCAGCTCAGTTCTTTCCATTTTTCTCTTCAGCCATCCCACGCGAGAGCTCTCATTGCAGTCTAGCTCCCCTTATAGGGGCACAGTGCCGGGGCTCAGGCAGGAGTCATCATGTTCAGCAGACGCACAAAAAGGCCCAGCTTTGAGAGTAAGGAAATCTTTCCCAGGAGTCCCCTCACATTGGCTAGAGTCAGGCCCAGCCTATGCCTGAGCTAGTCACTAGCAAAGAGCAGCAGATACGTCCCTGAGCTGGCCACACGCCACGTGACTGCGTGGAAGAGGGTGGATGTCTGCACCAGCTCCAGATGCTGCTGGCACAGAAGAGGCTGCCCAAGGAGTGTCTGTGCATCCTGCCTCAGCATGTGGGCATCTTCTGCTCTCCCTTCCTCGTTTGAGTACTATTCCTGGGACTCTCAGAAAGAGGCAACATGTTGTAGTGGGCAAAAGCTAAATCCAGTATCAGGCAGACCTGGATTCAAATTTCAGCTTGTCATGTACCCTGAGGACAGCTGGGAAGCCATCGTCTCCAAGCCTCAGTCTCCCTCATCTGTGCCAGGCAGATGAGATTATGAATTTCACAGCGTTTGAGAACTAAATTTACAAAACTGCAAAATACCTAGCCTAGCATCTGATACATAGCATACCTTTAATCAGTGTGAGCCCCGGTTTCACCTTTGACCCATTCTCGGTGGACTTTGATGTAGCATCAGGGCTTTCTTACCCAGGCCAGTTGGGAAGGCAAAAGGCAGGGATGGCGTCTGTGAAGAACATGCCCCTGGGCTGGTCGCTGGTCCGAGGCCCGAGGCCTCCAAGCTCAAACCTGCCCCTGCCGGGTCACTGCGGGCTTGGCTCAGCTTCCCAGGCCTGCCCTCAGGGGACCCTGCAGCCCCACCTGGCTGTTCCATGCTCCTGGGCCAGCCTTCCCTCAGTTTCCACTCTGGACCAGACTCAGAGGCCAGAGCCAAGGGAGAAATTGTTTCTTTCCATCCAGCTGTGGAAATGGGGAAAGTAAAGGTAGGGCTCCAGTGACCGTGTCTTTTGTGGGACAAGCAGGACTTCCGGGCTGGGAGGAGGTGATCTTGTACCAGAGTCTCCAAAAGGCATCTGCCCCATTGCCTCTCTGCGCACCACAGAGAGGGGTGTGCGGGGCCCTTGGGTCGCGCCTGCACGCTCTGCTGTTCCAGGCGTTCGACCTCCTTGCCCCCTAGGTCAACGAGGGAAATCCACTCCGCCATGGGGAAGCCGCTGCCCCGTAGGGTAGAAAAGCTTCCCCATAGTTCACCCCTTTCTCCCTGGCCGCCCAGTCTGGAAGGGGAACTGGGGAAGGCGGCAGGGGGCTTCTGTGGTTTCTTACCCTCCTGGGGTCATTTTTCCTCGGCTTCCTCCTTTAAGGAGGGGAAATCGAGGAAGAGGCCCATCTCCATGGAAACTTTCTGGTAACAAGGGTGTGAAAGAGGAGGGGACAGGTGTTTCAGGAGGAAGGGAAGGCGCTGAAGGTGGGCCTGGAGCGGAGGTGTCCCAGAAAGTGGTTCTGAGGCTGCAGGCCCGGCGAAAAGCACGTGTCCCATTTCCTGCGGGAATGGCCAGAAAAGGTTTCCTCCCCGGCTTCTGCCCCCTCTAGCCGAGTCCTGGACCTCTAGGGACGCCCACCTACACCCTTCCCATAAAATCTGACCCAGCTGGGACGCAAAGGCTAGTGTCCCCCTCCCTGAGTTGGTAGGGGCTGGGGAGGAAGGTGGTGTAGCCCGGAGCCCCAGGCGGAGGGCCCGGGCACCCGTGCATCCTCCCTTCTGTTCCCTGTTCTCTCACAGGAGGGCCATGAAACGCAACGCCCGCCTTAGGTGCCCCTTCCGGAAGGGCGCCTGCGAGATCACCCGGAAGACCCGGCGACAGTGCCAGGCCTGCCGCCTGCGCAAGTGCCTGGAGAGCGGCATGAAGAAGGAGAGTGAGCAGTGGGCGAGCGGGCGGGCCGGGGCCGGGGTGCACGGCTCTGTGTAGAGACATGCTGTGTGTGTGTGCATGCGAGTGTGGAGATGCGCGCCGAGTGTGGGCGTGAACATACGTGCACATGTGAGCTGGTGTCGGTGTGCAACAGGCAGCCACCTGGGGGAGCGCTTGCAGCCGGCCCGCTGGGTGATGGAGGGAGTCTGTAATCTCCCTCCTGGGATGTGTGCTGGGCAACCCTGCCAGGGCGTGCCCTCTGTCTCCCTTCAGTTGCTCCTACATGATTCTTTTTGTCCCCTTCATAATTGTAATGGTTTGAAACCACATTTGGGGGTAGGGGTGTGGAAGGAAGGGGGAGGGAAGCAGGAGCCACGTGGGTGACAGGACCCCCGCTTTATAGCTACTAGCGCCCACCATCCCCACCAGACCTGGATCTTTACAGGGGAACTGTTAGCAGACAGGTGACAGGAGGTGTTCTCACTCTACCTATTTAACTTTGATATATTTGTGCTCCTAGGTCACTCTGAGATTAAGGCTCATGCAGAAAAGGCTAGATGCTTCTAGCGCATTTTTGTCTCCATGGAACACAAGACCCAAAGCTGCTTCTTTCAGTTCTCTAGGCTGCTGGCAGGCGTTCTTGATCTCTCCCCACCAAGGACCTCATAGCTTTGCTCTGCACGCATGAGTGGGCTCCCAAAATCCACAGAAGACCTAAGGCTCCGGGCTATATATGAAGTGTCTGGAGTTGCTATTTCTTGCTAAGCTATAGCCCAGCTCTCTGGGGTCTTGGAGACCCAGACACCTCTGAAGAGTCTTGGTATATAATTCATCCGAAAATGATAACAGTAGATGCCATTTACTGAACATCTCTTATGTACCAGGAACTATATTAGGCACCCTACATGCAAGGTCTCATTTAATAGCAGTGCAAGGTAAACACGGTTTCTCTGGATTACAAAGAAAAAACCTGAAGGCAGGAGAGGTTAAGGAGGTTGCTTGGGGTCACAGGTAGTAAGTGGCAAAGTTTTCACGCAAGCCTAGCGCCTTTGGATTCTGAAGCCCTTGCTCTTGCCAGGGCCCCACAGTGTCCTCACAAACTCCACTGCAGAGGGCGATACCCCAGCCGCACCTCACGTCTGTCCTCACCCAGGTGTTACTCCAGAGGAGCCCACAGGCCTCTTGAGTCCAGACAGGGGAGAATTGCTTGTCACCATTACTTTCCCTTTTACCCAATGCCTTCTGCTGCCTTGAGAGGGTTACGCAGCGGCTCCCCGGGGGGGGCTGGAGGCTGACCAGGGGCACGTGTGCCTGAGCCAGCCTCGCTGTCTCTGCAGTGATCATGTCGGACGCGGCCGTGGAGGAGAGGCGGGCCTTGATCAAGAGGAAGAAAAGAGAACGGATCGGGACTCAGCCACCGGGAGTGCAGGGGCTGACGGAGGAGCAGCGGATGATGATCAGGGAACTGATGGACGCTCAGATGAAAACCTTTGACACTACCTTCTCCCATTTCAAGAATTTCCGGGTAGGAGGAACTGCACAGTGACCGAGGTGTCACCGCCATCCTCATTCTCACATAGAAACTGAGGTTCCCCAAGGATAAGAAACTTGTACGAGGTCACAGCTAATCAGTGGTGGAGGGTAGATTTGCAGAGCTGGCCCTGCGTCTGTGCGAGCTCCTCAAAGCCGTAGTCTCATTCCCAAAGGCTCTCCAAGTGTGGTCCCTGGGTCAGCAGCATCAGCATGCAGATTTTCAGGTCGCCCCAGACCAACTGAATCAGAAGCTCCAGGGAGGCGCAGGATCCCCGGGTGATTCTGTTGCAGGTTCAGGTTTGAAAATCGCTGCTCTCTCATTTAAAGCAGGTAGGAACTGGGTCTGAGCAGTAAGTGGAGGGAAAGCTAGGCAGTCCCCCAGTGTGACTGGCATTCAGGGCTTTATGAGGACAGGGTCAGGACCTGTCGAGGGGTGTGACTTTCGTGAACCGGTGTTTCTTGATCCCAGGCACATTAGCCATGTCTGTGCTCCAAGTGCCCTCCTTCCCCTTTGCACTGACAGATATCTCAGGTGGCCCTTCCCAGCTCAAAGAACTGGATGAGCCCAGTGACCTCAGATCTGCTCTTCCCATCCATAGCGCCCTAAACCTTCTGAGTCTCCTGAGCCCAACATCTGGAATGCTTGGGACGACACACCGTGATTGGAGTCCCCCTTGCCCTCCATTTTAACCAAGCAGGGACGTGTGTGACCATTAATTCATAGATCCCCAAAGCACCTTCATCTGGTAGAGGACACCAGAGAGAAGAAACAAAGGCTGTGTGTCTGTACGTGTGAGGACACATGCGTGCATGTGGGTGTGAATGCCTGCATTTGCGCATCCTCTCGGGCTGCAGCTGTGGCTGTGCACGTTTGGCTGGGGCCTGAGTTGGGACCTGTCTATGAAAACACGTGCTGTCTCTCCCCTCTCCGCCTCCTGGCATGTGTCCTAGCTGCCAGGGGTGCTTAGCAGTGGCTGTGAGATGCCAGAGTCTCTGCAGGCCCCATCGAGGGAAGAAGCTGCCAAGTGGAGCCAGGTCAGGAAAGATCTGTGGTCTGTGAAGGTCTCTGTGCAGCTGCGGGGGGAGGATGGCAGTGTCTGGAACTACAAACCCCCAGCCGACAATGACGGGAAAGAGATCTTCTCCCTGCTGCCCCACATGGCTGACATGTCAACCTACATGTTCAAAGGCATCATCAACTTTGCCAAAGTCATCTCCTACTTCAGGTAGGACATGGAGACTGGGTGGTTGGGTGTGGAAAGGAACTGGAAGTAGCCAGGAGGTTCAAAGGACCTGGGGTCGATCCTGAATTTGGGAGATATTGGTGGCAGAAGACCCTCCTTTTCCTGTGCCCTGCCCCCCAGGGCAGCCAGTGCTGCGGGGGCGTGGAGGCCTCGCTGTGTGGCTGGTTAGTTTTGTGGCTGTGGGCCTGCCAGTGTCTCTGCCTATCCACCTGCCCAATGGAAGCTAACAGTGCTTCCCCTGCAGGGCTGTTCTGTGAAATAAGAACACATCTGAAGAGCCCCCAGCACAGAGTGGGCATTCAGATAGCCTTTCCTACTCTCCCTTAAAGGGGCAGGAATCACATGTTGACAGTTCCAGACCAAAGAATGAGAGAAATAGACAAGATAAGACTGCGAAGGCCGTGGGGAGGGTGGGTGGTCCTCAGAGCTCAAGGGTCAGGTCTCCCCAGAGCTAGATATGGAGGCAACAACCACGGGGCAACTGGGGTTAGTGGGAGATATGGGAACTTCCTGGGGTGGCAGGAACCACAGCCCCAGAATATGTCTGCAATCTTAGGGTTAGGGATGGTGCCAGGTGTATCTGTCCTTGGGTAGGCCACCTTGCCCTGCCAAGCCTGGTCAAGCGGGGTTGAAACACACCCGCCAGAAGCTCCTGGTGTCTTCAGCAGGTTGAGGGTAGGTTATGGTCTGGGAGCCCAGAGGTGCTTCTCTGGCCCTGTAGGAGTCATGCATGACTTATTTAACGGGGTGATGCTGACAGCAGGTTTGGAATGGGGTTCAGATGGTGGCAAATTAGCTTAAAGGGGCAGGGAGAGATTATAAATGTGGACATTGGAAGATCTTGGTGAAATCCAGTGACTGACAATTTAACACCAGGGCTCCCCACTTGCTATTTCTCATGGCCACCAATGTTGAGCACAGTGACCCAGGTGTCACTGCCGTCTTCATTCTCAGATAGAAACTGAGGTTCCCCGAGGATAAGAAACTTGTACAAGGTCACAGCTAATCCATGGTGGAGGGTAGATTTGGAAGTACCAAAGCCAGCTCGATGCCGGGTCCTAAGCCAGGCAATGGGGAGGCACAGAAGAACAAGATCAATTCCGTGGCATTTGTAGCTCAGTGTTACGGATCTAAAAGAAGGATGGGTGCCAGTAGCTCAGGGCCGGAATTCCCAAAGAGGCCAAAGCCGGAGGTAGTGTTTCCTCACAACCCGGAGTAAGCAGCCTCCCTCTCAGGCTGTGACGTTTCTTTCTTGTAAGGAATGCCTCCTTACTGGGGAGGTGGGGGTCCCTCCCAGGTTGGGAGGGAGTGGTCCCTGCAGGACCAGAAGGGTATCCATGTAACCATAATCTCAGAGGCTTGTTAAGCCACCTCCATGGTGAGGCCTGTGCTCCGGCGATAGGACTGGGGCTGCAGGCATCTGGGCTGCAGGGAAACAGTAGAAATACGTGCGTGCACCTTAAACCCAACACTGACCGCAGGAAGCAAACATCCCCACTGCTGGAGCTCAGGCCAAAAGGGCGGCACTTGCACTCTGGAGAGGGGAGACTGCATTCTGGAAAGACTTCTGAGAGGAGCAAAGACATAGCTTGGCTTGAGGGGCTAGCAGGATCTACTAAAGGGGCAGTCATTCCAAGGGGGGAAACTGAGGCAGAAAGGAGGAGGCCAGGGACTAGAAGCCAAAGCACTGGGTGTAGGTCAGGAGTTGTATAGGACTTGAAGGAGATGGGGCCAGGCTGTAAGGGACCTGGATGCCAAGCTCAGTGGGTGGAGTTCCCAGAGGTAGCAGGGGAGGAGAGGATGCTGGCAGACAGAGCTGTCTGCTGGGTTGTGAGGGGAGAGATGAGAGGCAGCCAGACAGCAGCCGCAGTCATCCTCAGGGAAAGGAGCCATTCTCCCTCTTCCTCTCGCCCCCAACTTCTGGATTATGGGATGGCAGCTGGGGCCGGCCTGTGGGCCGCCTCCCAGGGAGCTGTCCTCCCCTCCCCATCCTTGCTGCCAGGGACCTGCCCATCGAGGACCAGATCTCCCTGCTGAAGGGGGCCACTTTTGAGCTGTGCCAGCTGAGATTCAACACAGTATTCAACGCGGAGACTGGAACTTGGGAGTGTGGCCGGCTGTCCTACTGCTTGGAAGACCCTGCAGGTGCCCGAGAGAGCCTGCCTGCCCTGGCAGAGGGAGGGAAACACTGCAGTTGTGGGAGGAAGGGAGCTACGCCAGGATATGCAGGTTCTGGGATGGCAGGGCAGGAAGATGGAATGGTGGAAAACAAGATATTGGTGAGGGATGACAGGATCTTGGTCAGGTTGCTGAGAAGCTGCCCCTCCATCCTGTTACCATCCACAGGTGGTTTCCAGCAACTTCTGCTGGAGCCCATGCTGAAATTCCACTACATGCTGAAGAAGCTGCAGCTACATGAGGAGGAGTATGTGCTGATGCAGGCCATCTCCCTCTTCTCCCCAGGTGAGGGTCTCCCCTAGGCTGCCTGACATTCCCCCAGCCTTATCTGCCCTCCCCAGGGAAGGTCCCAATCCATGGCCTTGCTCCTCATTCACTGTGCAGCCAGGATGGGGACTGTCGCTGGCTTCTCCTGGGGTCAGTGGGTGATGCCCAGCCCTGGTCTTCCCTCACTTCCCTGCCTGGGTGACTCCAGCTCTGGAATGTGGTTGGTGAGCAATGCCCTGACTCTGGGCTGGACTGAGCTTGTCTTTGCCTCATGATCTTGCACCACACCTCCCTCCCCTCCCCTCCAGACCGCCCAGGTGTGGTGCAGCACCGCGTGGTGGACCAGCTGCAGGAGCAATACGCTATTACTCTGAAGTCCTACATTGAATGCAATCGGCCCCAGCCTGCTCATAGGTGAGCACAGCAGGGGGTGAGGACCCGTGAGGGTGGTGTGAGGGAGCCAAGGTTCAGGGAAATTGCCCAAGGCTTCACAGCCAGAGGGTGGCATCTGGAGGTAGAGCCAGCCAGACCAGGTCCAAAGCTCACACTTTTGAGCACTACCTAACCACTTCCCAGGAAAAACACAAGCAAACAGGGGAAATGTGGCCCAGAAAGGGACTTCTATACCTTCACTGGTCTTCCATAGCTCCCGTGACCTAGTGCCCAGACTGATGCCCACAGGCCCAGAGACAAACTTGGATTGTACTGAGCCCAAGGCCATGAAGGGTTAAGGCCAACACTGAGTATTATAGTGTGAACTTATAACCTGAAATCCTTATTTGGCCTGCACAGCTTTCTTTTTGGCTTGGCATCCTTTGCTCAACCCTTCCTTGTATGGAAGCAGGAGGCTGGAAGTGCCAGCTTTCTTTTCCATCGTGGGGATACTGAGGCATATGGTACATCTCAGATACTGGATCCAAAGTTAGTTCCAGGAAGGGATTCCAGCCTGCAGCCCCTAACCTCCACAACAACTCTGCTCAGTCCTGGCCCCTGGACATTAATGAAGGCAGTGACACCCATACCCCCAAACTGGTAGCTGCAATATCTGGATTTTCCCACGGAGGTCTCTGTGTACAAAGATGCAACTCCCGCAGCCAGGTGTCGTGGCTCACACCTATAATCCCAGCACTTTGGGAGGTCAAGACAGGAGGATCCCTTGGAGCCAGGAGTTCAAAGCCAGTCTGGGCAACATAGCCAGACCCCAACTCTAGAAAAAATTTAAAAAATTAGCCAGGTATGGTGGCATGTGCTCTAGTCCTAGCTACCCAGCAGGCTGAGGCTGGAGGTCTCCTGAGTCCAGGAGTTTGTCACTGCAGTGAGACCATGATCGTGCCACTACACTCCAGCCTGGGTGACAGAACCAGATCCTGTCTCTTTCAAGAAAAAAAAAAGACACAACTCCCATGGATGGGGTGGGAGTGGGGAGAGTACTGGGCAGGCTGTTCTGCCTTTCTCATCCACAGCGTGAAAGAGAAGCTTACGGAATTCAGCCAAGCCTTGCCTCTTGGCTGACCTGAAATGTCCAGAGATTATGCTTTTGCAGCCTCAGAGCAGCCCTGAGGCTTGCGGGCCAGGGAAAGGGCGGGCTGCACCCCCAACCTTTTCTCTGGCTGACACGCAGGTTCCTGTTCCTGAAGATCATGGCTATGCTCACCGAGCTCCGCAGCATCAACGCCCAGCACACCCAGCGGCTGCTGCGCATCCAGGACATACACCCCTTTGCTACGCCCCTCATGCAGGAGTTGTTCGGCATCACGGGTAGCTGAGTGGCTGCCCTTGGGTGACGCCTCCGAGGGGCAGCCAGACCCAGAGCCCTCTGAGCTGCCACTCCTGGGCCAAGACAGATGGATGCTGCCGAGAGCCGACAATGCCCTGCTGAGCCTGTCTTCCCAGGGAACTCCTGCGAAGACAGCTGGCTAGCATTCCTCAGGAAGGACATGGGTGCCCCCCACCCCCAGCTCAGTCTGTACGGAGTGAAGCTGTGGACCCTTATGTGGAGAGTACACTGACCTGTAGGTCAGGACCATCAGAGAGGCAAGGCTGCCCTTTCCTTTTAAAAGGCCCTGTGGTCTGCGGAGAAATCCCTCAGATCCTACTAAAGTGTCAAGGTGTGGAAGGGGAGACCAGGGCTGGGCCATCTGGGGTCTATGCCCACATACCACGTTTGTTCGCTTCTGGAGTCTTTTCTTTCTTTCTTTTTTTTTTTTGAGACGGAGTCTCGCGCTGTGTCACCCAGGCTGGAGTGCAGTGGCGCGATCTCGGCTCACTGCAAGCTCCGCCTCCCCGGTTCACGCCATTCTCCTGCCTCAGCCTCCCGAGTAGCTGGGACTACAGGCGCCCGCCACCACGCCCGGCTAGTTTTTTTTTTTGTATTTTTAGTAGAGACGGGGTTTCACCATGTTAGCCAGGATGGTCTCGATCTCCTGATCTCGTGATCCACCCGCCTCGGCCTCCCAAAGTGCTGGGATTACAGGCTTGAGCCACCGCGCCCGGCCTTACTTCTGGAGTCTTTTCATTGCTACCTCTAATAGTCCTGTCTCCCACTTCCCACTCATTCCCCTCCTCTTCCGAGCTGCTTTGTGGGCTCCAGGCCTGTACTCATCGGCAGGCGCATGAGTATCTGTGGGAGTCCTCTAGAGAGAAGCGAAGCCAGGAGGCCTGCACAAATGTCAGAAGCTTGGCATGACCTCATTCTGGCCACATCATTCTGTGTCTCTGCATTGAACACATTTTTAAGCACCGACAATAGGTAGCCTGCTGTGGGTTACACAGCATTGACTCAGATATAGATCCTGAGCTCACAGAATTTATAGTTAAAAAAAACAAACAGAAACAAACAATTTTGGATCAAAAGGAGAAATGATAAGTGACAAAAGCAGCACAAAGAATTTCCTTGTGTGGATGCTGAGCTGTGATGGTGGGCACCGGGTACCCAAGTGAAGGTTCCTGAGGACATGAGTCTGTGGGAGCAAGGGCATAAACTGCAGCTATGGGTGCGTGTGTGTGATCTAGCGCAGGTAGGTCTGTCCCCATCTGATGGGGCCTGGGTTTGTTCCTGGGGCTGGAGTGCTGGCTATGCTCTGTGACAAGGCTACGCTGACAATCAGTTAAACACACCAGAGAAGAACCACTTACATGCACCTTATATTTCTGTGTACACATCTATTCTCAAAGCGAAAGGGTATGAAAGTGTCTGCCTTGTTTATAGCCACTTGTGAGTAAAAATTTTTTTGCATTTTCACAAATTACACTTGATATAAGGCATTCCACACCTAAGAACTAGTTTTGGGAAATGTAGTCCTGGGTTTAATGTCAAGCCAAGGCAAGAGAAATTAAATAATGAACTTTTGGCTAGAGGGGTAAACTTTTTTTGGCCCTTTTCTGGGGAAAATAATGTGGGGGTATGGAAATAGAAATATACACAAACATACATATTTTTACTACTTATTATTGTCCTTCATAAATCTGAAGACTCTGGCGTAAGAACATAAAAATGGTGCAGCACACCAACATGGCACATGTATACATATGTAACAAACCTGCACGTTGTGCACATGTACCCTAGAACTTAAAGTATAATAGAAAAAAATTTATACAACTGTTGTTAAAAACAAAAGAACATAAAAATGAATTATTTAACTTGGCTTACTTATAAAATGATTATTCTGTATAAAAGTTTAACATATGTGCATACCATAGTTAAAAATGTAGGCCAGGCATGGTGGCTCACGCCTGTAATCCCAGCACTTTGGGAGGCCAAGGCTGGCGGATCATAAGGTCAGGGATCGAGACCATCCTGGCTAACACAGTGAAACCCCATTTCTACTAAAAATACAAAAAATTAGCTGGGCGTGGTGGTGGGCACGTGTAGTTCCAGCTACTTGGGAGGCCGTGGCAGGAGAATCGCTTGAACAAGAGAGGTGGAGGTTGCAGTGAGCCGAGACCGTGCCACTGCACTCCAGCCTGGGCGACAGAGCAAGACTCTGTCTCAAAAAAAAAAAAAAAAAAAAAAAGAAAAAAAATGTAGGAATTGAGTTAATTTTAAACGTCTAATATTCCATTCAAATGAAACTTCACAGTAACTGAATTTTAAAGAACAGATAATTACTTAGCTTTTGACATTTTACAAGAAGCAGGCCAAACTTTGAGGACATGGTAAATCATCAGTAATATAAATCAAAGCAAGTAAACATATTCTGTCATCCCTCTGACTTTACCAGACTTTTCTGCATTAAGGAGATATAGGGCGCACTTATTTTTAGAAAAGATACTGAGGGGAAAAAAGAGCTTCTCTTTCCAAACTCAGTGAATACAGCTTTTGCTCCCAGGAATTTTGTTTAATTATGAATCCATTTGTAATTAGAAATACAAATTTCTAATTTGGAAACATAGATTTCATTCCAGTGTATTCATAAATCATATGCATCTCCCTTTCCTTACTAAAACAATTCGAGTGCTGTTTGTTCAAGAGCCTGAAACTGTGGTTAGCTGTAGGACAGGGTAAGGCGAGGTTAAGATGGAATGGAGGACAAATTTCCATCTCCCATTCTTGATTTAAAAACTCCAGGGCAGTTCCCCAAACACTGAATTGATATATAGATTTATATAGATTATAAAAACTAAGCGTATTTCAAGAGTAAGGAAAGATTCAATGTTAGATGCACTGAGGAGTTCACACAAGGGACTTCCTTTCAGTAGTTTTGTGGATCACAAGTTTATGGGACTAGGAGCCAGATTGTAACTTTCCTACTCCAACATTTGGGTTTCTTCTTTACTCCCTTCCCTGAATTTTTGAGTACGCAGAACGAAACATCAGTTTTTAGGCATCCCTGTGACCACTTTTTTTTTCTAGGTCAGTGAGGAGAGGATGGAGTCAGTCTCCAAAGCTCAGGACAAAAGACCAAAGCAAGCTACTGCATACCATCTGCCCCCTCATTAGTCAGGGCCACTCAACAGCCTCTCTCTACCTGGCCCTGAACTTTGTCTAATTAAGTCTTGATATTGATGACAAATCTGTGGGGAGGGCCAGAGTGGCCACTCCCTTCTGGAGAAAGAGGCTGTAAGGAGAAACATCCATATGATTATCCATCCCTTCCTAACTCCTAACTTGTGGGCCTCATGATGCCATCTTCCACGGCAGCTTGGTTTTTCCTGGTAGCTTTCCCTTTATGTCCCTCAGCTCTCCTAAATCCGATGGTGGTGATGAGTGAAATATACCTACACTTGAGAAATGTGTGACCCTCCCAACACTTTTGTTCACTTCCTTTCACAAACTTCTCAACGACAGCGATCTAAAACCTGATCTCTCCTTTCCTCACTACCTTCCTAGAACACATTTCAAAATGACATCTACCGGCTGGGCATGGTGGCTCATGCCTGTAACCCCAGCACTTTGGGAGGCTGAGGCAGGCAGATCACTTGAGGTCAGGAGTTCAAGACCAGCCTGGCCAACAAAGTGAAACCCTGTCTCTACCAAAAATGCAAAAATTATCTGGGCATGGTGGTGTGTGCCTGTAGTCTCAGCTAGTAGGGAGGCCGAGGTAGGAGAATCACTTGAACTAGGGAGGTGGAGGTTACAGTGAGTCGAGGTCGTGCCACTGCACTCCAGCCTAGGCAACAGAGAAAGAATCTGTCTCAAAACAAAACATAACAAAAACAAAATTACATCCACCATCACTGCTCTCCTGAAATAGGATCCCAAAGGACTGTTTGTGGTCAGTACTTCTTGGAAAGACTTAAAAACGAAAAAGGCAGTCTTCCAGGATTCTAAATTGAAAGGGTCTTGCAGGACACTGACACGATGTTTAACTCAATCCCAGAACCTATACAAGACAGACACCCAAATGCACTTCAGTGCCAGCAGGAGGCCCATTGAACAAGTAACATCTTTTTTCATTAATCCAATCCTCCCGTCGCCTCTACTGGTTAAATGTGTTTAACTGTTTTACAAATGTTAGTGGAATTAGCCAACCCCACCACCACAGTAAATAAATAAGAGGACCACACTTTATCGAATATAAATTTGTTTTTATTGAAGCAGCAGTCACATGACCTTATATCTAGCCTTTAGATTAGGCCTGACAGAGTGAGCCAGCCCTAAAAAAATGATGTTTCTTTTTGCACTAAGAGACATAACATGTTTACATACATCATCCAGTATTGGAAATGAGCAGACTCAAACACAACATGTGTTGGTTACCTGGGAGGTACAGCCCCACTGTTTGTGGTGTCCATATATTTTACAGAGACTCCCAAAGACCATTACTAATAGGATGAAAGTTAAAAGAAAATACAGCCACACCAAATCATGAACACAGTAATCAAAGACAGCAGCTTATACACATTTAAAAACTGTCCCTTTCAGAGTTGTTTTCTTTCTTTTCTAAGCACTGTCTGCAAAGCTTCCTCTACATCAAATCCAAAGGTTTCCAAGATGGAAGCTGCACCTCTTGGGGCTACACAATGGAATAAAATCATTGGAAAGAACAAGAAGTGGTATTCATATCTTGTTTTTCATAACAAAGATTAATGTTTCCCTAATTAGAGGAACGGAAATGGTGATGTGACTACATATTGCAGTGGCAAAATAGTAGGGTGAAGAACGAGGGTTGGGTACTGAAATAAAGACCACACACTTGTGAATTTTAATTTCATTTCCAGGCTAACCTACTTTTTATTTAATGCAAATTACAGTACCAGTTAACTATTTCCAAACCAAGTCACATAGAACAAAATGTATTTACAAGGGAATGGGGAAAGGGAAAAAAAACATTGAGCATACTTTTCACAAAAAAGTTTATATTTAAAATGAAAAAAAAAATCAGTCACAGAGGCATTCAAGTAGTAATGTTATACAGATTTTGCTTTTCCTTTATATCAAGACAGATTTGCACAAGTGTT